TGTTTTTAATCTTACTCTAAGGAAAATTTCATGAGGTTTGTGGGTCAACATCCAGTTTCTGTTTCGTTTCGTGGCATTTTACCATTTGTTTCTCAAGACTCTAAAAATATCTACCTTGAATAAAACACGACAAAAAAATATAGGTATAAATCAGGTTTTCGTCCGCGCATAGTTTGATAGGTCTTTCGAGAAACAGACCCCAGGAAACATGCAATAACGGTGTGATTTAGTTTTGGGGCAAAAAGTATGATTTTGTTCCATGCTGCCGTCAATTATAATCATAACTGACATCTTATGGCAGAAATAAACAATTGGATCAAAATAATTTAATCAATACTTGAACGCTTTACAATTGCGCAGTGTTTCACGGCAGGTCCCAAATACGATCGACATCAGCGTAAAACGCATTTCTAATTCCACAGTTCTCATTTCATCGAAAAGCGTGGAAATTTTAGGTTAAGACCTTGTTTTCTGATTGTTCATACTTCTCCAGACACATGCTTTTTGTACGAAGTAGCAGTAAACTACATGCAGACACCTGCGGTATCAAGTACACCACTGAGGTAATTAATTTTTTTTGTCCATTCATTATAATTGGGATGAAAAGTAGTTTTAGTTTATACAAAAACATTGAGATAATATAGCACAAAAAGGTGAATGAGTTCATTTCATTTATTCTCCAACGATTTCAATATTTTGGGCGCAAATTCCGTGCGTTGCTCAGAGATGAATAGCAAAGGATATACGGAGCTTGAGTAGCCAATCAAAGCTATCCGCTGTTTTAGTATATACTGACTTGTATCTGCCAGGCACTACGCGGTGCACATATTAAGTAACAACTGCTAATTGTGGTCCTACATAACCAAATCCTCACAACAACCTGTTGCAAGCACGTTAACAGATTCAAGTCTCCTTAGTATTTTGTTTCTCTTTACCACAGGATTTAAGTGACACACGTATTACTGACGTACTCCGCGATGTCAAAGTTCCAGAGTTTAGGCCAAGTTCAAAGGTCAGGCGATTATTGTCATCATTCTTACTCTCCATCGTGTCTTCTTTCTTAGTATAGCAGCAGAGCGGGCCTGGGCTGGACTATTGTTTTGTTTTCCAAATTTTTATGTTTTAGGAAATTGAAACAGACGAAACGGCATCGAAGTCAGCCGAGTCTTCTAATGTGTCCTCTAGTGACTTGAATGAATTAATATCACATATCAGAGAGATAATGGCAAAGGGAATTAAGTCAAGCAAAGGTAGGATATGTTATACCGAACACCTTACTCAGGCCAGTACGTCGTTTGGTTTTATGTCTGAAGTTCCAGTAGCCATAGTATCTGATTTATGTACTGGAGGTAACTTTGCCGAGTGAGGAGGAAACGAAAATCATGTTCCACCTCTTTTTATCTGCCCTTTTGTTTTGTTTTTTTGGTTGTTGTTGTTCTAAAGGTCGATAATTTGATCAAGCTTAAGAGGCGTTAATTTCCTATGTAGGCCGTAACTCATAAGAGCACTGATGAAGGTATGATTAGATCACCATCGATCACTGACGGCTATGTAGGGTCTACTAATAGTCAATCCTGTGTCGCCAATTTTACTCAGGAGGGCGTCCATTTCCTCTCCACCAAAACACTCAACCAGCTCACGAGATGCGAGTTACATTCCTGGAAGACTAGATAACCAATGGATGGTCTGAAAATACGTCGAGCAAGCTTAATCCGCTAAATCGCTAAAAATATGGTGCTTAAAGTTGTGTATTTCACTATAAGTCTTATTTGTTATTGTTGTTGCCACTTTTCGTTGGACTTTATTTCTAACATATCATTCCCAGCGTTAATTTGTCATCATTATGTATCATTTTTGCTCAGATGTGCTGGCAATGTTTCCCCAAGAATTTGAAAAAGACGATGATTCGAACGGTCACATTGACTTCATCACCTCAGCTTCGGTGAGTTCGTTTTAACTATTTTAATTGACACGTACAACCCATTCATTGTGACTAGTTTTTTTACCTAAACTTACTGCAAATTTAGAGATCTCAGACTCCAACTGAACGATGTGTAGACAATAGCTATGTAAAGTTCGAGAGATGCATTTTTTTTATGATTGTGTCTCTTGGTTTGGTGATGGCTAAGAATCTTCTCTATTGCTTATGTTGCAGAACCTTCGCGCCACCATGTATAGTATAGAAACTGCTGACAGGTTAAAAACCAAGAAAATTGCCGGTAAAATAGTACCTGCCATTGCTACCACTACTGCTGCTGTAGCTGGCTTGGTAAGTTTCAAAGCAGTGTAAGGAAAACAGAAGTGTTGCGTTAGCTGTAGATACGTAATGATTATTGTCGACGTTATAGGGGACTTAAAGATACTTTTAATTCGGTTTCAGGTCACTATCGAGCTTGTTAAAGTTGTTATGAAGAGTCCCGCTGAAGACTTCAAAAACTGCTTCATGAACCTGGCACTTCCTTATGTCATTTTCTCGCAACCAGGCCCCCCAGAGGTCACGGTCATCAGGTGTGTTGTCTAAAGGAGCTATCGTACTTTGATTCTTTTATATAGTATTTATCATTTTATTTGTCCCTTTAAGGATCAGTTATGGCTTAAGTGTGTAGGTATGAGAATAAAAGAAGGCTTGTCTTCAAAATAAGTTCTTATTTATTAAACAAATTATCCTTATAAGTACTATTGGAAATGTTTGGAAAGTGTGCAAACTGATGTTGAGGTGTTAAGGGTTTCATTAAATTGAAGTACGCAATAACAGTTTGCTGATGTAGAAAATAACTCAAAAAGTTAAAAAAAAAAACAAGAACAACCGGAAGGAGCAAGGATGGTTCAAGATAAATGATATTAACAAGGAGTGCACATTACGATCTGCAAAAAAAAATAAGGCTTAAGTTTCCCAGACGTGCCAACGATAACGTTCTAATGTAATTCCTTTAAGAATGTTGTTTTAAGACTATAATTCTTCCTCATTGGGCTTCTTTGTGAGGTGTTTAGACGAGCATCATTTGCCAGATTTACATCGCTTTTCTGATACATTGTTTTTTTTTTGTTTTTTTTTGTTTTAAAGGGAAGGCCTGTCGTTTTCAAACTGGGACAAATGGGTGGTCCAAGGAACACAAGAATTTAAACTAAAAGACTTTGTGACATATTTCAAGGTAAGCGGCGTGGTAAGTTACGAACAAAGGCGGGAACTTACAGTCTTGTGGATAGAACAATTTTCAATTGATTGTCGATCGTAATCCGGGACTGCTTTGGTTTTCCTGTACTTCGTTCGGTGATTGGTCCAGAAACTCGCACTACTTTCTCAACCAATCAGATTCAAACCTAAAACCAACCGCGACTTAGTCACCCGCGTTTTCCCGCGCTTTAGAAGTTTGCTTGTTTTTACTTCGAGTTCTCATTGGCTCTTCGTGATATTTTGTTTTCTTTGATTGGCTGGTATGATTGCTTTGGTTCTGGTTTTACGACACTCAATCGAAAAGCTCTCTAATGCACTCGCGTCTTACTAGCATTTTGGATACATGCAAAGTTGTCTTGTGTTTTTGATTCATCCCTTTTACTTCACAAAGAGGGGTGTGAAAGGCACGCTGGAACCTCCATTGCCCATGTCTCTTCGGAATTTTCTCGGTAGGACTGCAAAGTGTCAAAGTGGCTTGGGATTAAAGCGTTATCCGTGTTTTTAGTGTATTGCCGAGATACCCTAAGAAATGTAATAGCATCCTTATAAAGCTCTGTCTGTAATTTTCTTCTCTTTAGGATAAATATGGATTTGTTGTATCCATTGTTGTACACGGCGTTAAGATTGTATACGTCCCAATGTTACCTGGACACTCTAAACGATTAGAACAGAAGTAAGTATAGTGTAAGTTACAACATGATTTCGAGTGCAATTTAATGTTAATAACCACGAGTAATTTTTTCAAAGACGACGAAATTGTACAACCCCGATAAACGCTGAGTGGTCCCTAACAGTGGAAAAAAAATATTCTTCAAACAACGTGGTTACAGGGAAATCTTGAAATGTTTTAATGGTCTACTGAAAACCGCGGCCTAAAAAGGATTTCCATCAAATAAAGGTTCCCGTGTGTCTTCAAATTTCCAGTTTATGGACACTAATTGATTATTCCTTTTCGCTTTTTGTTGTCAACTTTCGTAATGCGTCTTTCCTAAACAGAATGACCAAATTGATTAAGGCACCTAACAAAGCCTACGTGGACCTCACCGTGTCGTTTGAGGGTGACGGCGATGATGATCTACCCGGGCCCCCTGTGAGGTACTATTTTGGTTCCTAAAAGAGGGGCCTTAAAATTACAACATTGGAAACTTGATACAATAATCCTGGAGCGGCTTCAATGTAAAGTCCGCTACTCAATTCGTCACAATATATTCCAAATGATATCACCAATTTTAAATGTTTAATAGTAGGAAAGGAAACACTCACGTCAGGATTTGAATTTGTACCTCATTCGGTTGATATTCAAATTTGTGGACTGGTCTAGTAGCATTATATTTTATTAAAAGTTGTAAGAATAATTAGAATTTGAAGAATTTAGGTTTTATTTAACTCCATGTTACTGACAGGTAGATGAGAGATTTGTACTTATAAATTCAAAACATTTTGCCCATTTTACCCTGAAATCATGTATTGTATCTTTGTGGTATTGCGTGATTGTTTCAATCAACCTGTCTCCACTGTTACAAGATAATCTGGTTTCATCAACTGAGTTGAAAATATAATTTAGCCAGCGTGAAGAGTTTCCAAGTGGAAAGTTCCAGCGTTAGCCTTTCGTCAGAGCAACGACTAAGGGCTACCCCTGGAAACGTAAGCCTTGGAAATTCTCTACGGTGGCTAAGGTACAATATCAATTCAGTTGATTAAAACCGAATTATCGTGTAATCCCCCCACCAGCGCAGCACCACAGCTTCTTTAGAAACTTACTCCTTGTCTCCCTCGTTAACAGACAGCGAAAGAACGAACATTTTCTTTTTTGTAAATTCATACATTCCCTAAGTTTAGTATAGATTTATTGTAGCTATTTTATAAAATCACAAAAAACTGTTGTTCTGCCCATATCTACTAGAACCAAAGCAACGACTTAAATAATTTAATACGCAAAACGACTTTGCTTGACTGAAGAATCGTATCTGACCAGTTACAAATGAGTGACTACCTCCACTCGCATGATTACACTTCACATTCGACTTAAACAATTTATATACTAGCGTATCTCCTAACTATGCATTTATATTGAAATCTGAAAGCTGTTGGTTGTTGTATGAACTTTATTCTTACAAGGCTTGTGCAAGTAGATACAAAAACGATGCCAGGTAAACTGATATGAATTCGACGGCTCAAATCTGCTCGACTACGATAGCAACAAAAGTAAATTCACAACGTTACCAAGACTCGGCCCGAGGCGTCTTCAACTGGTTGATTTGTGTTTATCAAGATAACAATTGACCATCATTTATACATTTATATGTAACGTTGGTGTACTGATTCAATCCCGAGTCAGTGTGCCATCAAACGCACTTTATCATATCCAACGATTGAATCCCAACTTTTACTTTTGCTCGAGTATTTAAGCACAAACACCGTGCTGGGACATAAATCTTTTAAAAGTTCAAATCGTACAGGGCCTATATTGTATCAGTAGCACATCAATATCTCTACAATGCAACTGTCGCTTTGGAATTGCCGAAAATCGATTCTTGAACAAAAAGCGCAAGAACGGACACCTCGAGAAATATGATGGCGGACACCATATTCCAGGTGACAATGATTCCCATAATGTCAAAACCAATATTGGGTAGAACGTTCTGAAGATAAGAGATGTATTTCTCGAAATTAAACTTAGGTTTCTTGGCGTTGTGTTTAAGTTTTCCGACAGCTCTTGCGGCTCCTCGAAGAACCATATCCAAAACCTCGCGTCGGGATCTCTTCGGAGTTTCACTGCCGTCGGGTTCCTTCGGTTTAAGCTGGTCGTCGTCCGAATGGCTGTTATTTTGTAGCCGATCGTCCTCGGAGAGTTCCGGATCACTTACAGTGACCTGCGGACGAAGGAGAGATTCTCCGACGTAGCTCTGCTTAGTTGATATCTCTTCCACTCCAGACTTGACTTCACTAGCCAGAGGGTTAGAATTCGCCTTCTTGAGTGGGAGGAGGTTCTCTTTGCGAGCGCTTTTCTTTGCGCTGTGTACTCTTCTCCACAGACTTCGCCCTCGCTTTTGACCCAGCTTTTCTTTTTGTCTCGGAGCGTCACGCTCATTTTCTTCCTCTTCGGAACTGCTTTCGGGTCTCTCGGCCCAGGCTTTCACCACCACCGCAAGATACCTAGAAAAACATCAAAAACAAAATTCAATTGAAATCAAATCCCGAGTAACTTGTTGCAAAAATGATTTAGGAATCACATTTCGGCTCAGTTACGCCTTGTTCAACAAAGCCATTTAGCTCAGCTTATTTCACCCTCACCGCACACCTTGCTCGTAATTAGGCTACTTAAGGCTTCCTAAGCAATTCAACGATCTATACTTTTAAAGGCAGACAAGCTTTGCAGAAATAATGGTATTTCTCTCTCCAACCCTCCTCTGCTTAAAAAATCCAGTGTGGCAGCCAGATAATTCACGAAGTGGCCTACACGAAGTGTATACAGCGACTGTATTTCCCTAACTCTTACTGAACTGTTTTGCATACCATGAGTATTGTTTTGTTACCCAAGCAGCCATGCACAGAGGGTAGACAGCGACGACACTGGGAAGCAACGCATAGAAAGCGAACACAATGTGTCGCTGCTTGTACAAAAACAGAAATGCATTCACTGCAAGGGATGCGATGCTGTACACCAAAAGAACAGCCAGCGTAACCTGCGGGGCAAGAGAGAAATTCAACAAGTTATTCTTAAGTCTATAAAAATTGCTTATATTTCCTTACTAATGCAGCCGGCCCATTCTCAAGGAAGACGCCACATTCCGCGAAAAAAGCGACTTAATATGATGGTGGTGCCCCGTGCTGTACTTAGAGTGCAAGGACGTAATTGTCAAGAAAAAGTTTAAATCAAAGTAATAAAACAATTTAACATGCCACCAATTTCCAGTTGAACACCAATGTATGCCCCCCTCCCCCTTGGAAAATCTTGCTCACGTTTTATACTTTGGTAACAGCCACAGTTTTTATATAATAGTTATGTTCAACAGTGTGTGGGAAGCTGGTGCATTTGTTTCCCAGGGAAGGAGCCTTGACTAAGCAGCATGAATTTCGTAAATACAATAGATTGGGAATTGCAAGGAGCTTTACCTGTCAGACAACAACACATGGCAAGCACGCCAATCACTTACACTAGCCTTGTGAGCACCATCTCGCACTGATATTTAATGAATTTCCAGGTACCGAAACTTATCTTTTGGCTTTGCTTTATTACGCTCTGTGATTTGTTATGGACACTTGTAAAACTATGCCAACCAATCAAATGTAACACAAAACCCATTGCGACTTGGTCATTCCGCTTTTTCGCATTTTTCAGGCCCTGGTTAAGTCCTGTGTTGTTAGTTTATTCTTGGAGTTTTCAACAGGTTCTTGTGATATGATATATGTGGTCTGATTGTACGTGAGACAACAACAGTGTTAATTTTACGAAACACTTTCAATGGGTTTTCTATCTTACCCTGCACGCAGACGCAGATTTTCTCACAAATCTTCCCCTCTCTGAGAACGATACTACTCCTTGTCTGAACGTGATTGGTGAGTCCCTGTCGACCAGGTGCTTGGTTATCTCCTCTAAGGGTTAAAAGAGATATTGTCTGTCACTGCATGTCAAAAACGCTGACGAGGTAAAGTTCTTCCCAGGAACAACAGCGCATAACACTTCATATTAAATTGTTCCCATCAGAAATAGAGAACTAAACTTGTTCTATGTTTTTGTTCAGAGATAAGTTATTGTTGAGTTTAAAAAGAAAAACAATCACCATACATAGAGGATGACAATTCACTTTTCTGGCTACATCCAGTCTCGAGGTAAATTCTGCCGCTTAGTACTTTGCGCGCGCGCCAAAATTGCGCAAAACATCCTTGGGTTGCGTATGTACGCGCAATAGGGAAGAGCTTTGGGTTCGAGATTGGACGAGGAATAACGTTTAGCATGGATGCGCAATGCAGTAAAGAAGAAAAACAAAGACTAAAGTGCTACCCACCGTGAAACTCCGTCATAGAGTAACCAGTTATGTGCATGACACATACTGTGACGGTCCAAAACAGCGCTAAAGCAAACATGACGTAACAAGCTGCCAAGAATCGAACCACTTTCAGAGTGACGAGCGCGTAGTCCGGGAACTCAGATCTCGTTCCGTCGAGGTTTATTTTGACGTCTAACGTCTCGTCAAAATGAAGGCAGGCGAAGATACCAGCTCCACAGAACAATCCAAATGCCAGGGTAAATAGCGGTATCCACTGTGAGAAAAATTACACAGAATTTCAGGCCGTTCACTCAATGACGCC